CGGCATTTCTACCTGTCCTACCAACGTTTTGTTCAGGGATTTCCCTCTACTAGCGCATGCGCATTGCACACCATTTCTTTGTAAACAAAATGACTGGCCGTGTGAAGTAAGCCAAGAAAAGTGTTGTACCGTGTCAGCTACGAAGCGAAAAGTTAACAAATGGTCAAAAGATAGCGCAAGGAGTACGTTACGGAATCTTTATTACAGGTGGGAAGTATTCCAAGGAGAAAATAACTGCCCTAGCAGTTAGTACGGATAGCCGGTTAAGCTGAAATGGAATCGACAGAAATGCTAACGCTGTTTATGTTATGAATAAATATCTAAAACTATTAACCTCGCTAGTATCTTTGTCTGAGTTTGAACACAGATGAACTTAGTTTGATATGTAAATGGGCATGTATCGGAGAGTGTTTACTTTGTGTTTCTATAATTAAACAGTGGTTTATGCGAAAGGAAGGGATAAGTGACTGGTTTGTTTGATTTTGTCATGAGGTCCTCCAAGGGTTAACTGGTGTGATAGCCACGGCGTATTCTGTCTCTGTCGCTACTCGTGATCGGGGTCAAATGAGATACGGGCGCTTTAAGATTTACATAATTTATAATATTACCGGGTTAAGTAAAATGGTATGATTTAATTATATTGCTGAATTTAACGACTTTTTGTTGTTTTTACATACAAGATTCAAATTAATATTAACATGAATACCCGGCTTCCCCTGGCGCAACGACACAATATATAAAAAAAAATATCTCGTCATCAGAAAGCTACATTATCGCAGCTAGATTAAAAATGTCAAGATGACGGGCCAGGATGAATAACTGAGGAAGGAGAACCTACTTCTAGTAAATAGGATCGCGTAACATTTGTTTTTAAATCGTAATATTTCAACAGTTCATGTTTTCATATGTTGTTGACTTAGAATGTATGATCATGAAACAACCTTTTCTCTATAAAGAATTAATTTTCGACTTCAGATAGAATCGGAATACGTATTGAAAACAGGGGAAGAAACATTGTTTACGTTGTAAAAATGACGCGTGCTGCCGATAACTACGGCTTCTGTTTTGGACAAAAATGAAATGACTAAAGAAAAGTTGGCTCAACATAAAAAAGGGTCCATTGACAAGAATGCTTTAATCTATGAAAAGTATTGAAAAAATATAATTATCAATAGCTCAACACGTCCCATATCTGACACATATTCTACATGTACACGTAGTGGTTTTGCCATACAGTTTAGTGTGTGTGGTGGCTAATATGACTTACTGAGTGTTAGCGTATGGAGACAGTGAAAGTGGGAAAGAGAGTATACATATATTTTTATGCATGGTATAGAAAAAAAATTGGCCAAAGATATTGAGTTGTACAATGTTATAAAAAAATCACAAACGTTTCTCTTTTTTATTCGCGTGTAGTTTGTCATTGCATATATGCACTTTATGAAAACATTTGAAAAGGGATATTCGTCTCGTGAATATTCCTTTTTACAGAAAGGTTTGTCCCATTGTTGAAGAAAGGTGTTTAAATTAGCCCCTTACATATGTCACATTCTGGTACTAAATTCAATATATATTTATATATATATACTTTATGTATATGCCTATTATCATTGTTGACATTTAATTGTAAATGTATGACAGGAGAAGGCTGTTATAAATTGTAAAACCGTGTGCCCCCATCCCTTGTTCAATTTTATTGGCAATAAATATGTTTAAAACTAAATAAATTTAAATTCTTAATATTGGCAATCGTACAATTAACTTCTGATGATGAATAATTATTGTTCAATAAGTTTGAATACGGACTTAGAAATCATATTACTTGGTTTAATAGTGCGGTAAGAAGTTGCAGTTGCCTGACGCCCCTCTCTGGGGGCCCCTTTGGAAACCGTTTCATCTCGCCTAGACCGCTCGTGTTTACTGCCTAGTCAGGTGACGTTATCGGCTATTTTTAGCAGGGCTTTCCAGAACAATTCAAGTGGTCAAACTGGACATTTGGAACGGATTATGAATATATGGGGATATCGAGGTAACATAAGTGGAAGTGCATACAATACAAACATTCATTAAAAAAAAATATGGCTCTTCACGTGATGTCCCTTTAATGACATGAAGGAAAATTGTTATAACAATTTGATGGACAAGTGATTTATCACTCTATGATTCGAGGCAATTCCATTTGTTTCGAAAGAAACATTTTCCAATTCTATATTAGAAAACGCAGTTGATTACTTGTAATTTAACAGCAGATGTTTAAAACGAAAACTGTTGAATTTCGCTCCTTTTGAAATGATACGACGACATCTATAATTAGAATAATTCTAGCATCAACACTTAAAGTCAGCATATAGGGTATTCTGTCCAACAACAATCAATCATACGCATACATGGTGATGGCAAAAGAGTATAACTAGGATATTCAATGTTGAACTACATACACTTATCTATAGACGACATTTCTCAATTCTTAAGTAAATCTAGTAAGTTACATTGTAATGAGACTAAAAATTAACGTAAACAATGCCTTAAAACACCTACAAGACCATGTTCAGTGCTTAAATTCCATGGCTAAAGATAATGTTTCAATCCCGTTGTGCTAGCAGACGCAGTTTCGGGTTTGTATATGTAATAGTTTACGCATTGGTAAAATAGCAATAGTTAGAGATAAACCTTCAGGAAGATGCAAAACATGACTTCTAAAAATCCCGATGTGCGCAGAATAACCGGCAACCTTTTGTCAGAATTTTAAAAGCAAATATGTTGATAAGGGTGCAATCGGAAAACAGGTACGAATTTCGCCTTTAGTCATAGGTCTACACACAATCATTGTTACTGTGAAGGCAATGACTGAACAAGAGGGACTGTTGTACTATTTCTGATATAGCGCTTACAGAAGGATTTCCTTTATACTATTAATCTGTACGGGTCACTCATTGTTCGGGATACATACATGAAGAAAGGTTATATGCTTGAAATAAGCAAATATCATAGAGATCACATGATTTTATTTGCCTACGGGACCTTCATATCACACAAAATTAGCATGATTTCCTAAGGGACCCTGAGGCGACCTAAAAAGCTGTCCATAGTCAACCTGCAAAATTGGAAACACTGTGTTGTAAGTTTGGCCGGGGCAGTGTACATCTATAACGGAAGTCATGATATTCGGAACAGGCCCTTTACTACCAAATCAACTCTCGGCACGTATACACTGTTTGCTGCTTTCAAGAAAGGGAAAGTTCAAAGTTTAAAAAAATTGAATTCGCCCCGCTTATCATGCAGCTTAGTAGTAGACCGTTCCTTGTTGATCATGTTGTAAGTAAAGATATAACACGAAGACAGGCATACTAACTCATGACAATGCCTCACCTTAAAAATGCAAATTTGTCAAGATTAATTTCGTGACGGAATTGAAATACAATCGTATTAGGAAAAAAACTAAAGTTAAAGTTTTAACTAAAGTTATGTTTTTTTGTACAGTGACGTTAACTATAAATTTGTCCTCAAAGAGAAGAAGAACAATTCTCAGAAATGATTTCAAAACATAATATTTATTTAGAAAAGTATAAAGCATCTGCCTTCTGGAAAAATAAAGATGTACAGTATATGTGACAAACATCAAAGTAATATATTTACAAGGATAAAGAATTGCAACTTCTCTGTCGTCTACAAGATACCTAAATTGTCGAGAACGCCCTTCGTTCTGAGAGGAATTCTTCTTCAATTAACCTAAAACTGTATTTAAGTAATTTAACATGCACCAGTGTATTTCTGAACACGACAGACGGAATTTCTACCTGCCGATCAAACTATACTTATACTTTTTGAACACTTTCATGTTTCCTGTGGATGAACCGGAAATCACCATTATTTTTTTTCTCTCATAAATTCTGCAAAAAGGCTTCACGATTCTCTATACAGGACACAATGATGAACTGAAACATAATTTGCGTTGTTTTCTTTAAAATGAATACACAAAGCAAACATCAAAATAATAAAAAATAAAAAAATAAAAAAAATGTTTACTGACTCCATCTTTTTAAAACTGGTGTGAACATAATATACTTTTAACAAACAATCTATTTAACAGAGAAAATATTGAAAAAAACCAATCTTCAGTTAAATTTTACACTTTTTATCTTTTACGAAAGGTTTGCTTTGGTTTGTTGGTGATTAACGCCCTACGAACAGCTATGGTTATTTAAGGACATGATAATAATAATAATGAAATATTTTATTTAGACATGGTTACATATTTAGATTTACATCTAATTTACAATATGGCCCTGAAGTACACTATTCAACCTGGGCATGAGCATGCTACATACAATAACATAAATAATAACAATATCACATGTGCAGATCCTGACAAGCTAAAGTATAAAAATATTCGTCTCATCTAAAACATTATAAGCAGGTATTCCTTCTTATAGACACAAACTACGTAAAATACGGTGTGAGCTTTCTAAATTTGTTTTTAAAATACTCACAGCTATAAAAAAAAAATGTATTCCTTCCTAAAAAACTATGCTAGGTAAAAAGTGCAGCAAGGTTTCATAATTGTTCCATAGAATATTTTTAATAATAATTTGTCCTTCATTTTTCACATACAGTCTTTTGCTGGTAAAATTTCTGCATTGGGAGTCACCTTAACGGTTGTAAAAGAACAGGGGTTGGGGTAAACAAGTCTATAACTTTAGGAACTACTCTTGCTGCCCGTTTTGTTTAAATTATCTATATTAGATGGCGTACACCATATCCCAGAACAATATAAAAAAATGTGGTAAAACAATGCTATGGTACATTTTTTTGTCATACAGATAGATGGACATAAATGATCTTACACGTTTAAAGACACCAGCCTTTTTGGATATTGTCTGACACCAATGTTCTATATGGTTCTCCCAGCTCAAACATTCACCAATAATAACACCAAGAAGTTTGGCACTATTTACATTTTCAATGACATGTCCATTGATCTCAAGTTTAAATTTTATTACTTTTGATAGCTTTTGGCATGAGCCAAGCATCATGCATTGAGTCTTATTCAGGTTCAAACTAAGTTTGTTCTGATCCTTACGATTAACTGTACGCTTAAGATCTTCTGACAGACTAAATTAAATATCGTTTATTTTAGTCCCTTGAAGTGTTTACTGTAGTCATTCATATAAAGTATAAAAAAGAAGGGTCGAAGGATGAATCCTTGAGGATCAGCAGTTGTCACAGGTACAAACTTGGACAATTTACCTTTAACATTTACACATGTGTGTATATATTTAAGGTATAAAGAAAAGAATCTAAGGCACATATCTGACATTCCGAAACATTTAAAGTTTTTGAAGAAGCACATGGTGATTCACCGTGTCGGATTCCTTGCTTAGATCAAGGAAAATGGCACCTGTAGGTTTACCATCGTCCATATTCTTAAACCACTTTTCAAGTTCACAAGTGCCGACTCATTTGACTTGGACAGTGATTTGGACGAAACCCAAACTGAATGTCAATCAACAGACTGTAATCACAGAGACACGTATAGAGATAATCATGCACGTGTCACTCCAGTATCTTATTTACAATAGTAAAACAGAGAAAGGCATATAATTGTTGACATCAGACCTATCACCAGACCTGAACACTAGAGAAACTTTTGCAGTTTTCAATTCTATTGGAAATGAACATGAATTAATAGATAAACTAAAAATACAAACAAGTGGATTATTTACAGTATCACCAGCAAATTTCATTAACTTTACACCTAGTAGTTTTATTTGTTTACATACTAATTCATTGTTTACATGGGGTATAACAAACTTGTTATTAGTATTAGATAAATCTACATGTAGAAGGCTGTCGTCATATATGGTTGCAATTTTAGGGGCAATGGTACTATAAAAAAATATTGAAACCATTTGAAATATCAAAGTCATCTGTAAACGTCAGTGTCATTGACTTTGATACTCGAAGGAAGAGAAGATTTTGATTGGGAAGAAATGTTTTAATCCTCCTACACATTTCCTTTGAATTATTCGGACATTCCAGGATAACCTTGTCTAAGAAGTCTCGTTTTGCACGTGATCCTACGAGATGCGCGAAACAACTGCCAGTCAGTTTCAAATTTTTATATCCTGGCCTTTTTATGATGATAATCTCGGTTAAACATTTCACTCAAAATATCAACATTGATCCATGGTTCTGTTTTTGGCCTTGCACGTTTTTTCCTTTAAAGATAGATGCTTCAAAGAAGAATTCCTTAAATGTTTGCCAGTCGTCGTCAACTTCGTCGAAAATCTCTGGTTCATGTTTTGTCGCAGCTTATGAACGACAAATAACACGTGATTATCACTAATACCCATTGGTAACACACTTTTACATAGAATGTTAGTGTACATGTGATCTATTAGAGTACAGGTATCCTGTGTTTTTCGTGTCGGAGAGGTGATTTGTGATACATTACAGTCACCCATTAGACTGACTGGACCACCTGAAAGGGAGAGTTTATCAAAAAAATATAGAATAACTCAAGCCACTGAACAGTCTGACTTGGGGGTCTATAGACAGAAACTAGGTTATAGGGGAGCTGTTTTTCATCTGAAGTTTAAGGACAACCATTCCAAGGTAACACGAAACACACGTGACGTCGTTACGGACATACACTGTGCCTCTCACGTAGACGAGGACGCCGCCCCCGTGTCGGGTACGATCTTTCCTGGAAACGTTGTAACCTCGGATTGCAATCTCTGAATCATCGGTGACTGCATTGAGTTTGCTATCTGATATGGCAAGAATGTCAAAAGTTTGCTTCCGGAGTATTATCTTTAGATGATCTTTTTTATTCATTACACTTTGAATGTTGATATGGGTACATTTTAGCCCATTTGGAATTGTTTTCAATATGTCATCAGATGATTGGTAAAAAAAAAATGCCTGAAAGATTATTAACACACTGATCACAAATCAATTATATAGGACAATGTAAATCAGAGTTCATAGCAGTGTCCAGACAATCAGTATGATAGACTATTGGACATGCTATAAGGTAATATAGGGATCAGTTAGTCACACATGTCAGTCACAGGTGTTACAGGCAACGGCCGGGCCAGGATTAGTACTCACATCATTTAACAGTAGTATGCATAAAAGGATTAGTAGGTGATTAATGCTCACTCTACCTTTGTGTACACTTTCCTCTCTGTATTCATTACATTAGTAAAATTTCTGCACACGATTTCAGCATCAAAGCATTTCATAACCTTCTACAAAATTCAAAGGCTAATTACTGGATGCATCACAATGTTGTCTAACCGAGTTAAAAAAAAAAAAAAATCTGGAGCACGCCTGACATACAACTGCTACCTACAGCCATGACCTTGGCCAATCACTGAGATAGTTAAATAATCAAAGTGTTGAAGTACATTTTTTTTTATATAAATAACAATGTAGTAGTGTGGCACTTTCTGTGACACATAACATCCCATGGAAATTAAAAGTCAACTCTGAGCTAAATCTAATTGCTGAAGACACATTATTAGTATTGTTTAGTGCTTATCCGTCCTATTTAGAACACTCATATCTAAATATATTGATTGACAAAGGAAAAATAACACTTTTTTGTAATGTTTGTTTCCAAACCATTTTTCATAATTGATAATTGGATCTATTATATTGAATACATACCATATAAGAAACTATGAACCATAATTACTGTCTCTTCAACAGTTTTCATACACATTTGACTCTGTGTCATTTCCATGAACCCAAAAGGAATGTCCATCACTGAAAATAGGTTAAAAACAATGTAAATAGTTATCAATTGTTAAAACGTCTTTTCCTGTAATGGTAACATGCTGGTAAAAGAAATAAATTCAGGTTTGTAGGTCAGATTGTATATTGTTTGAACATTTTTTGCACGTAATGTAATCAGGCATAAATATAATGAAATGAATTAAAGAAGTAGTTAATTTTTTTCTTCCTACTCAAGAGTTCATATGTATTATTGATATAAACAATGACATTTACCGCTACAACTTCAAGGTAAGCGTTGAATAAGTAGTTTACAAGGTTTCAATAGCAGAGGGATCGAATATGTTGCTACGAAACAAATATTTGCTAAGTCATAACATTTTAATGTCAAAACAAATATTTGCTAAGTCATAACATTTTTATGTCAAAACTAAGTTTTGGTTTAGTGTATATATGTCCTTTAAAGTTCAATGAACGATACAATTGACTTACTTTCAGATAAGGTTATTAAAACGTCTATATAAACAAATTAATTCAGTGAAATTGCACAACGTAAAATTAGAATCATATAAATTCTAGCTATATTTGGTATTTAGAATATAATAAGAGCTACACATGAAGTTTTTGGTCTTTAATCGGACCATTATCAAATTAATCGTACATGCAAAAAAGCAGGAAATCTCTATTCAAACTGTTTACAATATATCATAATATATTTATCACTGAAGTGGTAAAGCAAAGATCATATCGAAATAGAAAATAAATGAATCTTTTTAAATGAAAATAAAAGAGCTTAAGCGGTTGGCCGCCAATCTTGTTTTTAACGTCGATCATTTCACTGTCAGTAGAATTATGGTGAAAATATATAATATGTTGCTACGAAACAAATGATTGCTAAGTCATGATATTTGAATGTTTTGTGTATATATGTACTTTAAAGTAATTCAGTGAAATTCGACAACGTAAAATTGGAATGATATAAATCCTAGCTGTTTTTGGTATTTGGAATCCAATAAGAGCTACAAATGAACATCTTTGGTCTTTAATCGGACCGTTATCAGATTAATCGTACATGCAAAAAAGCAGGACATCTTTATTCAAACTGTTTACAATACAAATTTCGCATGCAATCTTGACTCTTTTGGCGAATTGGCAGAGGTTTGTCGTTAGGTTGATGGCACAGTTCCATCTTTTGAGTAGTGGAATCGTTCACAATATAAACACTATACAAATAAGGAACTTGTTATTAACCAGAAGCGCTCTTAATTCTAAACTTCATATAATTAGTGGGTTTTATACAACTCTCCTTCTGTTAAAACAGACCGATTTGAATTTCTTCCTTTCTGGCCATTAACATCACCGATGAGTCCCGGAGAGACGAAACATCTACGCGGTGCAGTGTAATTCTCAATTTTTGAGTACTGTATCAATTATCAAGTTTTATATTTGCTGTTACATCTGTATGTCTAACGCTCATCGTGAAAATGACCCATTTTTGCATTTAAATTCATCATCATCTTGTTTCATGTAAAACTATTGTTTTTTTTTTCGATTTATAAAATCAATCTTTTTACGTCATATTTTGTTTTCATAATTATATACTAAATAGTACAAAAGACAGAAAAACAGATCACCGGGATTTCTGCGCAAATAATTGAGTTTGAAGATCAATAAGAAAGGAATTCACACATTTTTAAGATATTTTTTTGAGTCCTGAATCAAACAAACAATGATTGGTTGATCATTAAAATCCAACTGATACAATCCTTCCATACCAGTAGGTAAATTATCGTCATTTGCCAAGGGCAGTGTACATTGTATCTAAAACTCATCTGATCTCAATGTGCAGACGACAATTACCGCAATATTTAGATATAAATCACTATATATATTTTGTTCAGTTAATTATGCAGTATGCCTATTCCAATTATATCACTGATATTTTTTTTAGCAAAAGCTGTAGTGGTAAAACAAAGATCATATCAAGATCGAAAATAAATGAAACTTTTTAAATGAAAATAATAGAGCTTACGCGGTTGATCCGGAATTGTTGCCACCGATCAATCTTGTTTTAAGTAATACATATTGTGTTATAACATAGAACATTGTATGTCAACTATTCATCCTGTATATAGTCCGCATTATATCTTTATGTGAATTCTTCTTATAATATTTCATCCTATTATGGTTTTGGTTCCTGGTAAATATCTGTTTCCCGTAATTTCATTTAATAATAAATAGTGAGGGCATGGTTCCTATCTGTTGTTAACGTCGATAATTTTACTGTCAGTGGAATGTTGGTGAAATTATATAGTTAGTTAAGTGTGAGGGGTGGGTGATACCCAAAGACCGATCCTGATAGCATATATTTATGAGAATAACCATGGCGAGTTGCTATATGGTTATTGGATGGAGTTTGAATTGTTTTAAAGTAATTTCAAAGTGACTAAATCTCCGGGGTTGGATCGTAACCCAGAACTACCTAGAAGTATACAAATTTTATATCTGAGTTACTCGTTACGTTCACATGTATTGAATCCTCCTTGATTTACACATTACGAAAACATCAGACCCAGTTATGTACACATTTTTAATCACGGCATCCACTCTGATATATAATTAGCTTACAACAGAAACGAAAATGTTTTAAAAAAAAATAAAAAAATATTCCCTTATATTTACCTGGTTTTGCCTGATGGTTGCTGACCTGTGGAAAGAAAACAATGACGACGTGTTCACTGTCTTTATGTTATGATCGATTTTGAAACTATGGACGACATAAATGTACTTTTTAACCTATTTATTTAAACGTATTGGTATTCCAGCGTAACTACAAACTGTGCTTACGTAAAACCTTATTAAACTATACAGTTATAATTACGGGCAAGCATCCACTTGGGAATAATCAGGCATCTGTTCGGCCTCTGCGCGTGTCGTTCGTATTGCGTTCGTCTCTTTCGGCTGGATCGGATTTAGCGGTCTAACCGTATCGAGCGGTGTTTTCGATTGTCTTTTTGCTCACAGGGCTTTCAGATGATATTTATTTTACCAGGTGAGACCAGGGTAGGACTTGATTACAGTAAAGCATTAATAGTTTCCGTATACAGGTAAAATATCATTCTTTCAAAAAAGAACAATATTAGATTACTATTCTTTGTCCTGTTGGTACTTGTAACACTGTGATATATCAACATGTTTGGCCAACATTTGTTTGTTGTATTTTTGTGGGGCAGGGTAGCCTAACGTTAATATTTAATTACAGGTGAAGCCATAACCTTTTAACAAAGCTTATGTACAAGTAAAATAACCTTAGTTCAGGATACAGCAACATTTCATTATTTTTAAGTTACGTGTATATGCACACTGATATATCAAAATGCGTTATATTATATCAACTAACAAGTAGGAAAGTAATTGCATATTATGTATGTGAACACTTCAATTTTACGGGTAACTGGATCATGAAACCTTTTAACTGCATGTTTAATAAATAATTGATTAATACCCATACCTGTATACTCTCTCTCTAAATTTCGTTAAGCTATCCAGGCTTTAATTAAGGTGATACTGATAATTTGCTCTGACTAATATTTTGAGTGGTGGTAATTTGGTTGCAATGTGTGTGAAACTCACCGACATTGTACTGGCTTGTAACATATGAAAGAAAATCGCCCATTTCTGTTACCATTCCTTACAAGTAAACCTCACAAGTGCCTTCATTTTATATATCTGTTGTCATTTTTACGACCTGTGTACCACATGAAAATTAGTTACGGTAAACTTAGAAAAAAATGGCGTGGCACGTTTAGTTACCGACCCGTGGTGAGTTTCCCTGCCTACCATGTTCCGATGGTTGGGCCAATCCTTATCTGTAGAGAGTAATCTTAGACGTTTTGGAGGCTTAAGATCAACATTAGAGAAATGTTAACCACTACCCAAAATTAACCAAAGTTTTCAGCCAATTTACATGTACGATTATGTTAGACCATCCTATCAAATAAGAACGTGCTTAAAAATAGTTAACGATTTAGAAATAAAACCAAAGTAATGTTTATTGCACCATATCTTGGTAAATTAATTATAATAACTACGAATTTTAGTAATATAGTCAAAGAGTCACTGTACTTTGTAGTAAGATGTAATACATTTGGTATTAAATACAATATGTAAAATATGAATTAAATTTCACCGAACATCTATAAAATTTGGTAAATAATGTTTATACTATCCGGTACGTGTACGAAAATTAAGACACAGTTTACACTGCATTTTACGTATCGGTTTCTAGATTTAATTTCCTCATACATATTTATCCTGAACTGTATCAAGTAAATATCCCTTCAAAAATCAGATCAAATTGAAAATAGAAAAGTACATTTTAATATGATGTAAATTCTTGTGATGTGATTCATGTGATTTGTAAACCACTGGAACTATCATATACAGAGACCCTCTTACTCCCAAGTGGGACTTGTCATTTTTGTATTTTAATGTAAATAATTTAGGTGTATCCGAATATATATTTATTTTACAGAAAATGTTGATTGAATAAGATAAAATTAAAATAAGAAGATAAATGAAATAAGAGACATTTTAGCACAGCACGTACTGATACGCTGGCTAATCATTATAATGATCAAACAGCTTCATATTGTGCCATAAAACCATAAAACACGATGGGAAATAAACGTGTAAATCAACAGTGTTTTTGAACTGTGTTGACATTACAGATTAAAAAAGGAAATTGAGTTGAAATAAACTGCTTCTAACTGACGTCTGAAAGGTTTGTGACGTCATGTCTATGTTTATAAATATAAAGAAGTATGGCGCTCTTGACCTAAACGTAACGAATATTAAAAAACAAAACAGTATTTTCTATTTTTGCTTTAAGCATCTAATGGATCTATCATATATCTTCAGAAACGTAATCAGAAAAAACATCTTGGATAACGCACACGCCTTTCAGCCCGACCACGTGGGTTTCTCCTGGTACTCACATTTATTCCCACATTACGACCTCCGGGCGCTAACAACCGGGCCAAGAACTTTAAATACCTTGTTTCATATTTGTGATAAAATAAATAAAAGTTTATAAAACATGAAAGGTGTTAGCGTTGGGGGTGGGGGTTGGGTTGGGTTTGTGTATCTGATTTAAATGCGTTTTTTGACAAACAGCACATTTAGGGACTGTTTACCATATTCTTCATCTTGCACAAAAATATTAAATGCTAATAATCTGTTCAACGTAAGCCGAAGCTGAGGCATTATGTTATTTTTTATTTTATTTTTTATAATTTTACATTTCTTGTGTTTGAGATAAGGGGAACGAATGTTATATTTCAGAAAATAACCCTTCTGCTCTATAATATACAAAAGTAAACCAACTACGTGTGCCTACGCTGCGGAACTTGTTTCTTACGATATATTTAATAGTATTGGTCTTATTTATCGGGTTTCAAGATTTTATTGAAATTGATACTATTCATCTAACCTTTATATTGCATACCATGAACAGTATATACATATAAACATAAAAGGACCCATTGAATTTATGTTCATTGGACTTTTGGATGCTTATTAATAAATAGCATATAAGCGTTGATAAACATATACTGTCTGATACGACAGTGAGCGTATACATACATGTACTATTTTTAGAAACAGAGTTACCAAATGTACGTAGGGCACATAGGCGGTCAATAAACTTTATTTTCAGGCCGTTTCAATGCTGGAACTAAAAGAAGTGCTCAGAGTGCCGTACACATCATGCCACTTTTAATAATTTTACAACAATTATGAAACACGTTATTTCAGTTTACATTAATCGCTCTTTTTGACCTGTCATTCGTTCTGTGTCGTATGCTGTTCACATTCAAGGGTTTTTAGTTTGCATTTAATAACAACTTTAAAACTAGAAGAAAAATGGTGCACTACTCATCATCACAAAATCTTGGATTCATAATAAAACGCATTTTTTTCTCATGGTGATAGGTCTAAGCATTTCAATCAATGTCATATCACCACAGATATTACTTCAAAATAGAAAATTATTAATTAGAAATGATTTAAAAATCCTGATATGGTATATAATTCATAAACACTTGTGTCTTGTGATTATCAACACCATCCATACCCGAACACGTTACCAACAATCGGTAAACATAGGGGAAATACTGTTAAACATTAAACTGTCTTTCTACCATTAAATGAGGAAACATACCCGTGTTTGTAGGAGGTATGGTCATAAAAGCTCTTTGTCGACAACAGTCACATGTAAGAGTAATTGTTAATAAGCTTACATGTACCTGTTTATTCACATGTAAGAGTAATTGGTAATAAGCTTACATGTACCTGATTATTCACATGTAAGAGTAATTGGTATTAAGCTTACATGTACCTGCTTATTCACATGTAAGAGTAATTGATAATAAACTTACATGTACCTTCTCATACACATGTAAGAGTAATTGGTAATAAGCTTACATGTACCTGCTTATTCACACGTAAGGGTAATTGTTAATAAGCTTACATGCACCTGCTTATTCACATGTAAGAGTAATTGGTAATAAGCTTACATGTACCTGCTTATTCACATGTAAGAGTAATTGATAATAAACTTACATGTACCTTCTCATACACATGTAAGAGTAATTGGTAATAAGCGTACATGTACCTGCTTATTCACACGTAATAGTAATTGGTAATAAGCTTACATGTACCTGCTTATTCACATGTAAGAGTAATTGATAATAAACTTACATGTACCTTCTCATACACATGTAAGAGTAATTGGTAATAAACTTACATGTACCTGCTTATTCACACGTAAGAGTAATTGGTAATAAGCTTACATGTACCTGCTTATTCACATGTAAGAGTAATTGGTAATAAGCTTACATGTACCTGCTTATTCACAGGTAAGATAAATAGGTGTGTAATCTGTGTTAAACTGCGTATTACTGTCTGTTAACTACGTTACGTTGAATATACTTGAAACAGACATTAAGGGTTGGTTTCCTTCTCGGAAAAAAGTAAAACACTGATGTCTTCATTTGTCGATTGATGTTTCATACTTTTTATATATTTACGTATATATAGATAACCGTTGGTGATTCTATTGTAAAATTCTCAACATTAATTCATAAATATATATTGTAAAGGTACTTATACTTGAAATGCGTTAATTCTTAGACTCTGACGATAGTGGCCAAATTACATCACGGATCAATTGTTTAGTCAAGGATTTAAATCTTATTCTTTAGTTTAGACGAGGAATAAGATTAGACCGCGGTTTAGCATATTGACTAAGTTAGCTATAAGTGTTATATTACCAAATGGTAAAGGTTAAGCGACCTCAACGACCGTCCATTCGGTCGGCAAGGCATATGTTTATCGGCCGATAGCGGCCGTTCTAGCCGCGTTTGTGCCGAACAGTAAAACAAGCCTTCGTCATGCGTTCATTCAGCGTCAGGCTAGCGAGCGATCATCGTTCGCTCACCGTGTGGACACCGTCCATCCTTCGTTCGTTTAAAACGGATAAAGTATGGATTCTTGTCCGATTATAACTATAACTGCACCACGTAAAGTGACAATTTGTTTTAAAGTTATAAAAGACATATAGCATCAAAAATCAATTTATTTGTTAGGAAAAAACCCACTCATTTTATCGCAAGGGTACAACAAACTCGAAGGTATAATGAGTTAGTTCACAACGTCAATTCAGGGAATGTCCACCTTTAGCATTAATACAGGAATTGCACCGACGAAACATGAACCCAACAAGATTACATAAAACTAGATGTCACTCGAAGGGGGGGGGGGGGCATTCGTGAATATCCCCGCTTTGATTGATAAGGAAGTGTTGGGAGTGATGGGCATGTGGATTGGAAGAATCATGTGAAGAGTTGTATGCTGCAAGTGTTTGCACTGAAGGTAGTTTGATACATGATAACGTAGTATATACATGTTACATGTACATGTATTTAGTACATGAAAAGGATTAGGATTATGGTGTTTCTGGGAGTATATGTGAATTGCGTGCGATTCTTGAAGCAATTGATGCTAAGAAATGAATTCAACAAAATAGGTGTGTAGTGTTGAATGTATTTTACGTTATTACGTGAATGCATTACCAGTGCTGTAGCTGGGCTACTGTGGAATAACTATCTGGACGAAGCTGAGGTCCGAGAAGTGCACCGGAATTACTGTCGCATGAACATGATGTGGTTGGAGGAAGTTGGAAAATACATGGTCCAATATGGATCCTGTACGATGTGTGTTTTTTTTAATAAGTTGCTGAAATCCGTATGATCTACGATCTAGAGGATGTATAAGTCAATAAATCCACATTAAAGTCACCACTGATTATTGTTTGAACATTGAGGTGTGGCACGATTTGCATGACTCTGTCCATTTGTGATAGGAAGTTGATGAGTTGCATAGTAGGTTGCATGTAGACTACTGTAACACACATTATCTCACCAGTCGCAGTGACCAAAAAGCAGGAGATATGCTCCGCAAACATTGCAAACCTTTCAGACGCTAAGTTTCACGTTACATAGGTCAAAGGTCACAGTAGAGGTCACGGTGACCTAAATATGGTATGCGACACCGCCTTCCATGCATGTACCCACAAACCAAGATTCATAACCGTAGGTGAAATAGTACGGGAGATATACTCAGGAAACCTTTTTGACGATATTATGTAGGTCAGAGGTCACGGTAGAGGTCACCGTGACCTAGATATGGTACGCAACACACATCCTTTCATGCATGTACCCACAAACCAAGATCCATAAGCGTAGGTGAAATAGTACGGGAGATATGGTCCGGAAACCTTTCGGACGGACGGACGGACGGACGGACGGACGGACGAAGCAAACACTAAATGCCCCCGACAAAGCGGGGTTTAAATGCCCGATAAAGCCGTTCCAGATGCAAACTTACGTAAGTGACAGCACAGCTTACATTACTGGCTATTTTTTCAGATGACGTAGCCTACTTTTTGCAGCTCGTCCATTACGTGCTTAATTTGCGAAAGGTCCAGTGATACAACAGGCCTGGGCAACATGGGTCAAAACATCAGTTACAACGCGGGTGCTCTAGCGTTGTAACAATGCAGCGTTATGTGATGTTGTTACACCAACGCAATGACTTTGGTTGGCACAATCTCATCGCGGTGGCGTGCACCGGTTAAATTGTTATAGAAAAGAACACAAGAGTCGTTATGGTAATCCTCGTAAGCATGCCCCGACTATCACACTACATTCAACGATAGACGACTTTCCACGACATAATTGTCATGGAAACGCTTTGCAACGCGATGGTTCTCTACGGGGATGCAATCACTTTTATCTTACTCGAACTAAGACTCGTCTGAGACAAGCTAAATCCAGTCTTATACGCCAGAGATGTCTTCTGTTCCAAACAAGACGGCAATATGATGGGTTGTTTTAGAACGGACCGATAGCTGGTCGTTTACTCATGCAGTTTGGAAGAGGTTCCGAAACTGGGATGTAATCGTGCCGATGTAATGACGTCACATAGGTCGTCTAAAAGCGGTTCGCAAATTATTATTCGTGATTATAGGGTCTTTGCAACTATCCAATACCTTTCTAAACTCCCTGGAGAGCATAGAGCCGGTGCTGCCATTTCGCTCACAGCTAGCATTCTACAATTATTGCACTACCCAACCACGTACTCATTTACAGCTGAGTAGACTGGAACAAGCGAAGTAAAGTATCTTGCTCAATGATACAACACAGTGCCGTGACGTGACTCGAACCCGCAACCTTTCGGTCACGAGCCCGGCGTCCTACCGCTAGACTACCGTGTCTCCAATACCGGCCGAAACCTCTCCCACCACTTAGTTGTGGACAATTTCACTCGGTCTATGCATAATTTATCAAAAACGATCACCAAGAAAAAAAGTTTTTTGTCTGATTGTTTTGGACGTTAAGATGTATACAACAGTAAAAAAGTCGGTGAAGATTGTATAACGTAGTTTTTGACGCCAAGTTATAATGACCTCATGACTGACAACAATAAAAAGCCATTTTGGATGGGTTTTTACTGCAATTTTGCCGTTTGCTAGTATTATCTGGTAAGATTTTCAGACAAAAATGATATTAATTGTGTAGTTATGTAAAAACAAAAATATTGTATGCTGCAAAGGTAGACAGCACAACCACTTATTCTGCCGTCAATTCATCTAAACTTGAAACTGTAAATCTACGCAGAAAATATCATGTACCGTTCAGATTGGACAATACTTATAAGTTTTTACTTGTGAAGATATAATGTTTCGTTTATCTTCACTGCATTAAAGATATGTTTTTATTAAATAGAGAATTCGTGATATTTCACAAGTAAACTGCAATAAATAGGGTTTACCAACATATACAGTATGCGGCCTCAATTTCCAAGGAGGCTTTCACGCATGGGGAAGCACCGGAAGTGGAACCTGGGGGTTTGAAAAAAAGGATCGCTTTTGACATACAAACTTTAAATAATTAACGCAAAATTGCCTTTTACCAGTGCTGCTTCAGACCCAATATAGTAGCGATTTGTGCTGTCGTTCAGATGTAGTAAGCAGTTAACAATTTTGTCGCTTATGTTGTTTAAAAGTTTGCCCGTCCATCTGGCTCCTGCATGCTACATCAAATGCATTGATACGAAAGAAGTTTGCATTGCCTCAAGTTTGTTTTAAATACGGTAACAATTGATGCCTTGTTTCAGCAGGAGTGTTTAAAAATGAATTTGCTTAATTCTGCCCTATTTTGGGCCTGATTGCTTTACCCGCTTCGCTAGGGGTGACAGTCTTCATTCTGCGGGAACACACTATTGGAAAGCAGTTGTTCTCCTTTGTTCGAACGGTACCTTATAACAAATTGTCTGATGACGATCAGTCGATAAGGAGGTGTTAGGTTTAACGGTAAAGGTTGATATAAAAAAGGCGGACAGACGACAAACGTGGCACACAACCATTTATCAGGGTAAAGAAAGCCTGTTAAATTTTTTGTCTAAGACCTCACCAGATTTTGTTTTGAATTATTTCCATTTGTTGTTCTAGAAAAGTAAACGTTTTGCTATTTTCTATCTTAGTTTACTTCGTTTTTTAATTTTTTATTTAAAATCAATAATCAGGCTCTGAAGGCGAGTCGATATCAACTAATAACAACCTAAATAGCCCTTCATCTGTGCAAACACCATGACCTTTGGCCGTTTCTAGGCTTACATTTGACCAATGTGATTTGAAAGTGATTCAAGATATTCATTACAATTTTTGACATATATCATAATAGTTATACATACAGATGCCACAAATTATAATATGCAACGCTGCATTTTTAAAATTACTACGTTTCCCGAAGTTGCAAACATTTAGTAACTACATCCATGTTCCTTTACACTAAGTTTTGAGCTAATTGTCACATGCGCTTTGTTAATTTGTGTTGTTATGTTTGTGCAGTATATAGGTTTTCGTTCTAGTTGCTTTGTATCTCAAACTGGAAACACGTATGCCATCAACTTACTATTATACAAAACTTTACAAAGGAACTATTTCTTTCTCTTCATTCCTTGAATATGTCATATTAAATTGAGGACACGTTGCTTGAGTTTTCAATGGTCTCATGATACTTGTTCTTTGAATATTACTGACGAGCGACATCCGACTTTGAAGCAAAGCAATTTTACCGTCACGCGACCGAGCAAGTCTTTTGATGTACATCAACGATCAAACTGGTCATTCTGTTTCATCAACAAAGTGGCACGCATCGAAGATTCGGATTTTTCATGTTTATTCCAAGGGTTTACAGAACGACACTGAGCGTAAACCCTGCAGTATCGAGAATGCGAAACGCCAGAACCGCAAGAAATGTAAAAAAAAAATAACATGTTATAGAAGGCCCGAGTATAACACTTTCGTGAGTATCTTCGGAAATGGATTGTTTAACTTAAACTCAACAAAAAACAAAGTCCATGTTTGAAAAATACCTAGTAAATAGACGTAATGAGTATAAAATATATCGTCCACTTCACACTGATAATACCCCACGTCACTGGACCGGAACTCTGTAAGCGTCAGTGTGTATCTCCCTCCCGTGTGTCTGGCAGATATCCGGGATTTAATGCTATCACTCAAACCAGTCCTCACCGTGGTATTCCACACATACGACATAGCGCTGTCTTTTGACCAGTTAAGGTGAGAGACCTGGTCATCAGCAGGACAGGTCAGTGTGACGGAGTTGCTAATTTGGACATACACAGTTGTTTGTATTCTCCCTGTAAAATTATTAAAGCAGTATGGTAGTTTACTTTTGTTGGATAGATCTAAACAGAATTACAGGATATGTATATCTCCACCGTCCTCTAGTTGTGACGCTTGCTTGCGTAGTCCTACATTTGACAACTAATATATATACATGATCATGTGTTAAAACAGGCCTGCCATGAACTGAATCAGAATAACATGTAAGGACCTCATGTTCCATAAAATCAATATGTATCAACATTATTTAAATTATTTTGTGGAGAAAGCAAAATATCAAGTTAGCAAGTTCTTTAGTTTCGAAAGTTTAGTTTAGAACTTCCTTCTAAATCATCATCTGGTTTTGATGTAGGATAGTTGTTGTGAGAAACCTAGAAGATATCTTGTAACCACATTTTTAGCACGATTTTCCTAATATGTCCTTTATAATATAACAAGTAATGAAAAATGGTTGTACAGTACAGTTAAACGTATGTTGTTGACTATCGTATCAACACTCCCTTTTGAAATAGAAAGTATATTTTGACCTTAAAGCTGGGATTTCATATGGCATTTTTTTAAAACAACTGTTGATTCAGAATACTTATGACATGAATTTTTCTTTATTGACCTTTAAAACTACCAATGGGTCATATCTTGACTAAATGCCATATAATTCAGAGTGATTACTTTGTATTTTAAATTTGATGAGCGCTTCCATTAGTCTTCTTTCAAGTTATATATTTGATAATTTTAATTTCAAATAGGACGTCATATATATAGCAACCAATGACAATATAACAATAGCATGTGTGTATAGTGTAAAAATGAAGTTACTTACATTGGCATTTATTACACAAACACAACATGTATATATTTGTACACAAACAACATTAACAGGTATCCGTAACTCGCCTATACATCCACGTGGAGTTATTAGCCAGTCATGATACCTGTTCTTTGAAGATGACAGGCGGGAGACACCCGACCTCAGAGCCATTCAGTTTTACCTTTACGCGAACAAGCGATTCTTGTAATGTACATGAAACTAGTCTTCTCGTTTCATCAACAAGGTGGCGCACATCGAACGTTCAGTTTTGTCATGAGCGAAACCCCTGAAGTTTCGAGGATGGGAAACATCAGAAACGCAAGAAAAATAAATGATAACACTTTCGTGAGTATCTTCAGTGATGGATTATTTAACTGTTCTAGCTGTTAACAGCCGAAGAAAAAAAATACGTATGATCAATTCGTGCGTAATAGCAAAATAGTTTTTAATCAAAAATATAATCCATTTTGCTCTCGGGAAGAAAATGTTATTTTCATTGGACAAACATATTTAAATTTTAGCTTATTATTACTCAAGATTTCACTTGGTTTATCATTATTGTCAACCGAAATTTAACACAATTCTAACTGCAAACTATTTTTCTAAAAGACCCGTGGATGAAAACAAAACAACACTGAACAAAGTCCATATTTGATTTTTTTTACCTCGTTTAATGATCATCTGTAGGTACTCTGTCCCATCCACTGTACATTTATATAGTCCCTCGTCACTGTACCTGAATCCTTTAAGCGTCAGTGTATAATTCCCTCCGGTGTGACGGGCAGACACCCGGGATTTTATTATACCACTCAGACCAGCCGCCACCGTGGTACCAATGAAATACTGAATATATCCGGGTCCTCTCCAGGTCAGATCGGTGGCTTGGTCATCAGCCGGACATGTCAATGTGACGGGGGAGTAACTAGGGACATATCTGATACTCGTCCCTGTAAAAGTAGTAAAAGTATAATGGTAGTTTATATTTGTTGGATACCAAGTTAAAGGATATGTATAGTGTGATCTGTGCACTAGTTAGCTAGTTCTTACACTTGCTGGGGTAGTTCTGCATTTTACAACTAATATATATATATATCATCATGTGTTAAAACAGGCCAGCCTTGAAATGGATCAGAATAGTATTCCGAACTTGTAAGGACGCCACGTTTCATAAGAACCAAGGATTCGTTACAAATGTCTGAAATAGACATATAATTACATAACTGATATTGGTCACAGGACACATAAACATACATATAAATGTACGTTTATGTGTGCTGTGACCCATATCAATAAAGCATATGTGTATATATGTATGTGTATGTGTGTTGTGGCCCATATCTGATCAGTATAGCATATATATGTGTATTTCAGACAGTGTAACGGACCCCTGTGGTAGATCCATGTGGTCCCGTCTTTTATGAAATAGCCTACAGTCTAACAGCCAAATGCCATATCAAACGTTTCATCCTATCATGCCACATTTGGTTTCCAGTCTAAATCGACATTCAATTATTGCAGTTTCACATTTCAGAAGATGACGAACCTCGAAGTTTAGCGGCTCTCCACTTCGAGCTAGTAAAAAGATGGCTGCCGTAGACTCGCAGCTGAGCCTATGCTACGCGTCTAGACATTATTCTTCTGCGATGACGCATCAAAGAATTTGATAACTTTTGAATTTATCAACACAAATTAAATATGACATTTTCTATACGGTTTTGTGTTTTATTTCTACATAAGTTTGCATATCAACGTACACCATCCTGTTTTATGATGCCCCTTCAATGAGGGTCTATATTCTTTTCATATTACGTCAATACTTAGCTCCATAACCTGGGACAAGTTCCAATTATTGAAAAAAAAAAACGTTGATTGAAATATAAGGATTGAATCTTGCTTTGGTCGATTTCATGGGGTGATAAATTGAGTTGGTCTTGAAACAAATTCAACATGAAACTTGTTTCAAAACCAACTCAATTTATCACCCCATTAAATCGACCAAACCAAGACCCAATCCTTAAGTGAAGAAAGCGAAACATCAAGTTAGCATGTTCTTGATTGTTACGTCATTGGTTTGAGTGAAAAAATTACGTCGTTTTCTCAAAAATTGATGACGTTACTCTCACAAACAAGTGACGTAACAATCAACAC